TATTGAAGCAAATCACAAATTTTAAAATATTAAATCTTAAGGTACCTTCACTATTTTATCCATTTCTAAGTTTGAAAAACTACAGAGTATACTTCCTTACCAAGAGTTTTTCAAGTGATGGAAAAAAATGACAGCTCTAGATGAAGTACCACCCAATGCCAGGACTATTATATCTATTCAGGCTCTTACCCAAATTGAACATTGAACTTGGTCATAATTTAGAGATGCTTTCATATTAGAGCATTTGTAGTAGAAGTATTTTCATTTGTTTGTCTTACCTGGGTGTAATGTCCAACAACTGCATCAGAACTCTTAGGTCCCACACCATAGACAAAATTACGGCGCTCCTCATACCAGTTTTGGATTGCATCTGACCACGGGGTAGGGTAGCTTGACATAAAGAGATTCTCACCACATTTTGTACCTAAATAGAAATGGATCATCCTTGAGGAAGCAATAAAACATGGAATGGCAAAAGAAATCAACTATATAAACACAAGGATGTTGCCCTTCAGACACAGTGCCTATACTGTTAATACATAATAAAAGGGCTTCTGTCCTTCTCAGCTCTAAAGCTGAATAGAAGGCAGATCTGTCTAGGGGGACCTGAGTAGCTTAGTGGGTTAAGTGGCTGACTCTTGATTTTGGCTCAGGTCATGATCTCAGGGTCCTGAGATCAAACTCTGCATCAGGCTCCCCACTCAGCAGAGAGTCTGTTTGAAGATTCTCTCTCCCCGCCCCCACCCCCCAACTCGGCCATTCTCCTTGCTCACACACACTCTTTCTGTCTAAAATAAATAAATCTAAAAAAAAAAAAAAAAGATCTGCCTGGGACGCTAAGGCTGACATCAGCATGCAAAACTTTGAATAGGTTAAGACCTTATTATTCAAAAATCCTCTGGAGTTTCAGAGATGCATTCTTTTTCAAGCTAAATTCTTCACATTGTAATGACTCCTATGCTCTCAGCTTTGTACTGTAAATTTGCAAAAGGCAGTGACCAACTTTTATTCTTTTTCTCCTCCTCTTGTCCACCCTCACCAGAGATTTTTCACATATTGGACCCTGTCTAAATGTTTATGATTATGATTTTGTGTGAACTTGGAAAAAGAGTTCTAGAGGCAGTCTATAAGAGCCCCAATTAACAGGCAACTGACATCAAGAAGGATGGCAGATTTCAAAGCTTTTGGATTCTCTCTTAATCACTAAAACAGAATATCATAAGGCCAACTCTTCCTCAGAGAATTAGGCAAGAAGAGCCTTGCCGAAGGTGACATCAACAAGACGGTGGAGTAGGGAGCCCTGGACTCTCTTTCCCTTAACAAACACACTGATCCAGCAACAATTTCCAAAAAATTGCCTTGGTGGGAAATTCAAAACTAATTGAAAGGCTTCTAGACCCTGGTAGAATATGAACCCAGACTCACTGAAGTCTGTAGGGAAACTGGGACACCCTCTTGCTAGAATGCCTACCCTCAGCACAGTGCCTGCCATATGATCAGGAAAAGGTCCCCTAGCCCCCAATTTCTCAGGGGAAGGAAGGAGTTGGTTCTTGTGTCCAGCATCCCAACCTTCCCTATGGACACTCCTCAGATGGCTGGCTTCTGTGTTGGTAAGTCTTGGAGCTCTGACAGTCAGGCACAGGCTAGCCATCTGTAGGATAATGGAGATGGTGGCTTGAGCTGATAGATACCATATCTCCTCCCCTTGGCTCAGCACAGAGCAAGCAAATGAAAAATCTTAGTTCTTAGCTTTCTCCTGGGGAAGCAAAGAGTTGATCAGTGTGTCCAATGCTCCAATTTCTCCAGGGCTCCCTAAAGAACTCACTTCTGTCTTTCTTGTCTTGAAGCTCTGATGGG